CCCGATAGCAAGGAAAACGACGTACAAATGCCAAAAGGAAGATGCCGCATTATACTAAACAGGTATTGTTAACAGCACACCATATGTGGTAAGACTTAAGGTAACAAAAGACTGGACCGTTTAGTAACTGAAAACTTTCAAAAATTTCTGTAAACTAAAAAATAGAAAATAGAAAATATGTTTACTAGCACAGTTTTCTATTTTAAAATTTTTAGAAAATAGGAACACTCTAAAAAACTATTTTCTAAATGAAAAACATAATCATCTAACCATATTACTATGATTACATTCATTATCATCTTCTTTAACTTATCACTATCTTCTCTCTTTTCTACATACTTTACTTATTTAAATATAACTTATTTGCTTACACTTTAAAGTTAGACATTATTAACATTATCAAAATTAAGAATTGAACTATATACAATGTTTTAGATTTTGATTGAACTCAATAGATTATTAGTTCAGATATTTTTATATTAGTTATGTTATATTGTAATACAGGTTAGGTCCGGATATCAAATATTGAAATCTCACATATTTATATGCACGTCATTCAAATAAATATATCCAAAAATATTTTAAATATTAGCTCAAAAAATATTAATATTATCTAAACTAAACTTTAGGTGAACTTAGTAGGTTATTGGTTAGGATATATTTTTTTAGTTATTATGTTATCAAATGTAAAAAATCTTACATATATTAGACTTAAAATTAAATAAATAAAAAGTAAATAAATTCCATTAAACCAAACATATGTAAAAATATTTTAAATATAATATCTGAAAATCACTCGAAATTAAACACGTGTTAATTTTATAACATTATTAATCTAAAAAAAATGGAAAAATATGTGTTACTAAACAAGTTTTCTAAACAAAAAACAGAGAATGAAAACTGAAAAATTAGAAAACAGAAAATAATTTTCCATTAGTAAACGGGCCCTTAAGGTCTGCTATGGTCGTGCTCGCAAATTATGCTGTGGACACGAGTCCAAAACGACGGCATTCCAGTTTTTTTTAAAAAAATTGATTTTGTCTCGCCGTTAACGGCGTTATTCGTTTGTGGAATTATGAATGTACAGTTATGAAATTATGAACACAGAGCTCTAATATTATGAACATATAGTGATAAAATTATGAACATAGAGCTCTAAAATTGTGAACATAGAGCTTCGAAAATTATGAATGTACAGTTATGGAATTATGAACACAGAGCTCTGACATTATGAACTTACAATTATGAACATATAGTGATAAAATTATGAACATAGAGCTTCGAAAATTATGAATTTACAGTTATTGAATTATGAATGTACAGTTACGGAATTATGAATGTACAGTTATGGAAGTATGAATGTACAGTTATGGAATTATGAACACAGAGCTCTAACATTATGAACTTACAATTATAAACATATAGTGAAAATTATGAATATATGCTCCTATAACGAAGCGGTATGAAATTTAAAAAAAAAAATGGTCAAAGATAACGGTGCCACTAACGACACCGTTACTGTGTCCACAATGTATGTTGGACACAGATCCATAGCATAACGATTGGGTCGTGCTCAGGTCTTATGTTGGCATTAGTATAAATGATTGTAGGGAGATTATGTATGCATTTTCAATTTGTTCTTTTCGTTTATTTCCAGGCTAATAATATGATAGCATACTCTTTAGCTTGTTTATTTTCAAGATTTTTCGTTGTGCTGAGACTCTATCTCACCTAATTTTGGTTCAGCTCTTATGGCAGTAATAATATATCTCAGTTTTATTGCTTTTAAAAAAATAGTACTAAACATTTTGACAGTTCTTTAATAATTTTTAAATATAATTTTTTGTATTTAATAATAATTTTAATTTAGTTTATAAATATATAAATTTTATATACTGATAGTAAGGTTAAAAAAAAAAAAAAAAAGATGCCACATTATACTGAACAGGTATTTGTTAACGCCACACTACAAAAGATGACTTAGTAAGAAATGTTGGATTGATGGAATTTCTGGATTGGTCACTTTAATTTACTTGATTTGGTTTATGTAGAGTCAATGACTTGGTGGTCAAGTGGTATGGAGTGATTTTTCTAAATCGAAAATCATGAATTCGAGCATCAATGAAAGCGGTACTAAAAATAAAAATAAAACTTAGCTTGTATCTTTGGAAGGTCATGGTTTGTGTAGCTTGTTTATTAACGGAAACTATTTTCATTCTTAGATCTTATATTTAAAATATTTTAAAAAATGTTTGGCTTAAATAGAATAAATATACTATGTAATTTTTACTTTTAAATTCAATTTATGTAAGATTTTTATATTTGATATTAGAATCAAATTTAAATTCGTATATAACATAACTAAAAATATATCCGAACTAATAACCTATTAAGTTCACCTAAAATCAGTTTAGATAATATTAATATTTTTATTGATTTAGTATTTAAAATATTTTTGGATATATTCATTTGAATGACATATATATAAATATATATTTTTTACTGTAACTTTAAATTCTAATATAGTAATATATGTGAAATTTCAATATTCGAACCAATAATTAATTGAGTTCAATCAAAATATAAAACTTGGTATAAAGTTCAAATTTTAATTTTGATAATGTGAATGATGTCTAACTTTAAGTATAAGCAAATAAGTTATGTTTAAATAAGTAATGCGAGTAGAAAAGATAGAAGATGATGATAAATAAAAGAAAATGATAGTGAATGTAATCATAGTAATAAATAATATGTAAGTAGATAATGGTGAGATGTGGTTATAGTAACATAACCAAATAGATTATAGATACTTCTTTTTTTCATTTAGAAAATAATTTTTCAATTTTCTAAAAATTAATAAATTATTTTATGTTTTTAAAATGAAAATTGTGCTGTTAAATATGTTTTTTTATTTATATTTTCTAGTTCTCTAATTTTCAAAAAACTGAAAAAATTTTAAGTTAGGAAACCGGCCACAAAGGATTTGAAATTGAAAGATTCGTGTGAGCTTGGGGAGTGTCCACGTGTGCAGATGCTCTCATCAGTCATCACAAACTGGTCCACAACGGAAAAACTTTATCCCACTACTTTACAAAGTAATAATAATATAATGAGAAAAATTAACAACTAAGGATTTTGTAGTTTAATGGTATCAAGTTGAATTATTATAAAAAAGATTATGAATTCAAGCCTCAGTGGAGTGTTATTGTCCTTAAATGGTGCACAATTGCATACTTTTCAGTTTTCATTCTTACAAATGTCTTAATTTTACAAAAAAAAAAATATTAATAAGTAAAATAATAAGCATATTTTAGTCATTTTGACGATCATTTCTTCCTCCGTTCTTAAAGCTATCGCCAGCCGTCCTTTATCTCCCGCCGACGAGCCTCAACGGCAGTTTCTTTCTTTTGTTTTCTTAATTTGTGTTGCAATATAATTTTATTTACTCGTAATTAACAGTCTCTCAAATCTCAATTCCAATTTATTATGTGACTGTGTACTGCTAATTATTGAGGTTAGTGTCTAAGTATGACACTAATTGTAGGCGTATTTATGATGCTCATTCGGTGATTGAAAATGGCGTCTAAGCTTCAGCAAAAATTTTCCCTCCGGCGGCAGCGTAGAAGAGAAGAAGAAAAAAGAGGAGCAAATGACTAAAATGTCTTGAAGATTTTATCAATTATGGCTTTCCCATGGCAGGAGAAGAAAAAACAAAAAAAAAAAAAAACAACAAAAAAAAAAGGGAGAGAAGTAAATGACTAAATTGCCCTGAGTAAGTCTTTAAATTTTGATGGTTTTTTACTTAGGTAGAGATACCATGCACCAAGCTCAGCTCATCAGAGTTTATTTGAATTGTTTTGTAAACAAAATCTTTCTGTAGCATGAGTAGTAATAATGATGAATTTTCTCCAGGTCATTCTGCGGCGGCCGGAGCCATCATCGGAAGTAACCTGCAGCTGGCGGAGCCACTCCTACTTACTACGTACGTCGTTGTTTCTTTGCTCTTAATAACTTTGTCCCTTTGATTTGCTGTTTTTCTTTGGCTGGCGCAGTGACACATATGTTGCTGTTGCCTCCTGGATTCTTTGTCGGTCATTCCATCCCCTTCTCATTTTTTTCCATTTCGATCACTCATTAATCCCTGTACGTTATTGTAACCACAACCGCCGCCGTTCCGCAGCAGCGATTTCGCGCCGCTTCTTCGGCTCCCGGATTTCTGACACCCACTTCCCCCAGCACCGCTTCTTCGGCCGCCTCTCTTCCCGCCATGCTGTTCATGTCTCCGGTAACTAGAGGACCGGCGTGATTGGCGTCTCCGATCCTGCTCCGGCATGGAGAGATCGGAAAGGGTAAAGGGGATGGGAATTCATGCATTGCATGCATGTGTACTACTGTATAGGGCCTAGAGTGAAACTCAGCTTTTTAACAAGTAAAAATATTTTTAGGCCCTGTTTGGTAAAATGTCTGTTAGCTGATAGCTGTTTGCTGTTAGCTGATTGTGTTAATTAGAGAGTATAAATACTTGATAACATTAGCTGATTGTAGAAAAGTGTTTAGTAAATTAGCTGTTAGCTGATAGCTGTTTGGTATAATTTCTTTTCTCAAAAAGCTAATTGAAAAAGTTGTTAGGAGTAGCTTTTTTAATTTTAGCCTTTTGAAATTGCAAAAAGCTAATTAACCAAACATTTATATTGATATTTTAACTAAATCAAACAATTAATAGTGGTCAAATAAGTCAAAATTGACCTATAGACCAATTTTTTACTAAACAGGGCCTTAATCACTTTCATTATTAAAAAAAAAAAATCATTAAAATTTCTAGTATTTTATTATATTATGATGATTTTTTTTTTTTTTTTGAGACCCAAACTATCGATTCAAAAGTGAATGTGGGAACATTAAACCAGATAGACAATTCATTTTTTATTTTTTATTTTTTGAAAACAACAATTCATTATTTATTATTATTATTTCCATCCAGGAGCAATCCGTCGAGTCAAATGGTGGTCGCTGCAAGCTTGATAAAAGCAGTAACCGATTTAGAAACAGAACGCCAAAAAGGGGGGCAGCTTTGCCTTTCCGACGAGTCTGTTAGTCAACGGTGGAGCATATACGGGTTCGATTTGAGCGGAGACATGGTTCTAAGAGACCCTCACGATAACTCCATTTTCGGAGCAATCTTTCATCGGAAATCCACCGGAGATCCACCGCCCAAGTTCGCAATCGCTTTTCGTGGAACAATGCTTCGCAAAGCCACCGCCATGGAGGACATAGTAAACGATTGCGACTACATCTTCAACGGCCTCCACGAGTCGACTAGGGTGGATATGGGGCTCACTGCCGTCAAGATTCTTCTGGAAAACGTCTCTGAAAATGGCGTGTGGTTAACTGGTCACTCTTTGGGCGCCGCCATCGCTTTAACGATTGGCAGGACATTGGTGCTATCGATGAATACTTATCTGGACACGTATCTGTTTAACCCCCCGATTAAGAGTCTTCTTGACTGTAGAGCGGGAGTGAAGGTGAAGAACAGCCTCAAATCCGTAATTATTGCTCGGTCCGACAAAAAAATTGTCAGTATGGACGACATAGTAGCTCTATCAAAATGGATTCCAAATTTGTTCATCAATGAATTTGATTGGTTCTGCAATGACTACGTTAGTCACTTTGAATTCATTAAAAAGATGGAGGACTCAGGTCCTGCCGGGGAAGAGGATTGGACGGTGGCAATGAATTCATTGAGATCGTTGGTTTCCAATTTATTTGGAAATTATTCCCAGCCATCATACCTCATCCCTTCTGCCCATCTCACTATAAATTCCAGGCACCCAGCTGAAGGTTCAATGGAAGCGCATAGGCTCCGGCAATGGTTAAATTCTGAATTACAGCAGCTTCGCCACCGGCGCTATGTAAGCTTTCAGGCAAATTAAAGGTTTGACTTTTTTAAGGTGAAAAGCGTGATTTTTCATATTTAGTCCTTCAATTGTTTCTTGCTAGTGATTTTAGGGAAGGAAACAGCTAATAAAGATAATTGAAGGACTAAATTTATAATTTTCTCTTTAGAGTGAAAAGTGTGATTTTTCATAGTTAAATATTCACAAGAAAAGAGTACACGAGTTGTTGTATTTTTTGAGTGACAAAGGAGTTTTGTATTGTTTGAGTGACGAGAAAAACCTTCCGTCTAGATAAACTCTACCTTGTAATCTTAGTCGACATACGATGCTCATAGCTCTTTGGGTCAATAGTTTGACCCACTTGGCTAAGAATTATTGTAATTTGTATGTTTGTGAAAACGTCTTGTTTGTATTATTATGCCTGTCATCTTTATCTTTTCTTTATATATATAATAAAGCAGAATCTAGCCACAAAATTTTTCTTTCAAAGTGTACATGCATTTTGATAGAAACAAGATTAGCAAGTATGAATGCATTAATTTTGTGGGTAGATGTATTTATACATATTTATTGAAGTTATTATGTGTATTTATATTTTATAAATTATATTTTATTGTTATATCTCTATCTCTATATATATTAAAGCATAATGAAGTATGGAAAAAAGTTTATTGTGTTCAAATTTATTGGTAAAGTTTTATATTTAATATAATTTGTGTATATATTCATTTAAACTTCAATTATAATTAATTTGACTCCACATACATAAAGAGGAGAAATTAGATATAAAATAATTATAGTTCTTACATAAATAATCTTTTTCAAATGAATAAGTTTTTGTTGGAGATTTTTGATAAATATTGCCTGTTGTTTTATTTAAATACGTTAGTTATATAATTAAAGTAGTTATTTCAAATTCAAATTCAAATTCAAATAATAATACAAGTAACAATGAACTTTAAAATCAACATAATAATAGCATAATTAAACTTTTAAAAATATTAAATATCACATTGTATATTTATACTTACATTTTTAATCAAACTAATTTTAAGCTCAAGAACTCAATTACGTTTTTCTATTTCCACAACCATTACTTTCTTTGCTAATTAAGAGGATGTCAAAAATTTAATTGATAAATTTGTTAAATTAATAATAATTTGTGCATCGCACGAGACAGTTACTAGTTATATATTATACCTTGATGAGAACGTATATTAGTATATTAATAGTTAGTTACTTATTATGCACTTCATAATAAATTAATAAAATGAGATTTCAAACTTGAAAGAGGTCGTCATATATTATACGTTTGTACGCGCTTATATTTTTTGTAAGATCTTATTTATTTATTATTTATAAGAACGGAATCATCACAATCCAAAAACCGGCCCAGGTCCCTGGTGCTTCAAGAGGACTAAATGGATAATCTGAGTTCTAGGATCATTTTTGAGAGAGCACTAATATGCTAGCCCCTTCTGTAGTTTTATTTTTTTTTATTTTTTATTTTTTTAAAGCATCATTATTGTTATCTAAAGCCTAAAGGAAGTCAAGATGGTATACAGACACGATATATATTATTGTTTTTATACGACAGGGAAAGGGAATGGATGAAATCAAAATCACAGGAAATTTTTAATTTAATATTCCGGAGTAAAAAGGTAATTTTAATAATGATAATTTACACGTGATAGATATATTACGATCAGAGTAAACTGACCCGTAGAAATGGGGCAAAACCTGGAGCCCCCGGGATTAAGATCCACGCTCGGCCTTGGGCCTCAGCCCAATCAGCCTCGGCCACGAGCAGGTCAATCGTTATGTTGTGCATCCATATGCACCATGCATGGTGCATACGGATGCCAAAACGACGTCGTTTTATTAAAAAACGCGCGTCTCCCCTTTAAAAAAATTCAGGTTCGATTCCCAGCAACAACATTATATTGTTCATTCATTCTGGCATTTTAGTTCATTGATTATTGAATTATAGTTCATCGATTATGGAATTGTAGTTCATCGATTCAGAAATTTTAGTTTATAGATTATGGAATTTTAGTTCATTCATTCTGGAATTTTTAGTTCATAGATTAGATTATGGAATTATAGTTCATCGATTATGAAATTTTAGTTCATATGTTGTTGCTGGGAATCGAACCTGATTTTTTTTTTAAGGGGAGACGCGTGTTTTATTAAAACGACGTCGTTTTTGCATCCGTATGCACAATGCATGGTGCATACGGATGCACAGCATAATTTGCCCGAACAGGTGCCGACCATAAAGGGGTCGACCATAAGTGGGGTCGGCCATAAAAAAGGGCGGACTTGGGAATCAATCAAGTGGGCGCGGTCAACGCGGATCCAACCACCCCCCGCTTCAGGCGGTGGCAGTTAGGGGTGGGGGTTGTATAAAAACCCCCCACCTTGTCTCTTTAAGACACATTCTACCTATCTTACATACTTTGTCCTAACGAATCATTGTAATAGCCTATTTACGGCATTTAATACGATATACGGTCCCCGCAACATTTACAACATCGTTTCGTTTATCTATCCTTTTATTATTCACATTTTTATCCGGGTTTAATTATTCGGGCCACCCCGGGTTAATTAAATCCATCATTGGTGCTCTTATTGAGAGTTGTTGTACCAGCTCAAGCGTGTTCTTTATCCTTTGATCACCGCGATCAACTACCATCGCAAAGTCGAGATCCAACTCTCGCTACACCGGTCGAGATCCACCGGGGAGGGCTGTCATTTTTTTTTTTTCATTTTTAAAGTTTTTAATTTAAAAATTATTAAAATAATTTTAAAATAAAAATTAAATAAATTAGCCCGTCATTGATGACTTGGCCGGAAATTTTACCAGAAAATTTAACGGCAGGACCAAATGTGATACAAGTTGAATAGTCATGCACCTAATTTGAAAATGTTAATAGTCAAGGACCAAATGTGATACAAATTGAATAGTCAAGTACTAAAATTAAAAATTTTAATAGTCATAAACTAAAACTGATACATGTATTTTAGTCAAGCGACTAAAATTGATATTTTCTCTTTATACTTTAAGTTGTTAAACTTTTGTGATACATACAACTACATTATCAGACTAAAAACAAATACAATTGAGATGTTTAACTCCAAAAATAGTGCTAATTGTTTTGAGTTAATGCCATATGGGGTTCTCTGTATATAGTGGTTTTGCCACATTTAGTCCTAAATTTTTAAATTGATCACATGTGGTCTTTCGACTTTCAAATTGTTACCATCCGTGGTCCAAGCTAACCACCCACATGGCCGTTCAACTTTCAAAATTTAACCAGTCGTGGCCCTCTTGGAAGGACCATGAGTGGTTAAAATTTGATAGTTGAAGGATCACAGGTGGTTACTTGGATCACCGATGGTAACAGTTTGAAAGTTGAAAGACTATGGGTGGTCAATTTGAAAGTTTAGAACTAAACGCGATAAAATCACTATACCCAGATAACTCCATATGGCATTAACTCTTAAATATTTACACATGACTTTTGTATTCTTTGAGTGACAAGGAGTCCTTGAGTGACGAGGAAAACCCACAGTCTAGCTAGATAAACTATACCTTGCAACCTTAGTCGACAAAATATGCACATATATAACTCTTTGGGTCAATACAGTGGCGGAGCCACAATGGGGGCAGTGGGGGCAGCTGCCCCCACTGCCCTGCCCCATATAATTAAGATATATATTAAACATACCAAAATTTTAACAAAGTTTAGTTTAGTTTAGATGGTAGGGTCTTTGGTTTTTTATTATATCATATGAAGAGTCAGCAGTTCAAATCTTACAACTGACTTCTTTTTTCCATTTAGTTTTAGTTGCCATTTCCTTTTTTCCATCTATTAATTAATTTAGTTGCCATTTGCAATATTAATACTAATATTGCCCTTTGTAACTGTGTTTAGTTGCCATTTGTTTTTCATTACTTTAATGGTTATGTTAATCACCAAGGATAAATACATTTACTGGAAATTCGTTAATGTTAGTTGGCATAGTTGTTTATTTGGAATAATGAGTTAATGTTAGTTAGGATATAGTTGTTTAACAATTTCATTCGTATTTGATATTTTGTATTTGATCAAACATTGTATTTGAACATTTTTTTAATTCATTTTATTTTTACTTTTTTGCCCCCACTCAACATAAATCCTGGCTCCGCCACTGGGTCAATAGTTTGGTCAACTTGACTAAGAATTTTTGTAATTTGTATGTTTGTGAAAATGTGTTGTTTGTATTATTATACTAGTTTTCATACGTGCGTTGCGCAATTAGACCATCCAATGTCCAATATGCATTTTTAAATTAGTGTTCCTTAATTGGTTAAAGTAGTCATATAATATAATAATAAGAGAGAAAAATGCTAAAATCTCTTATTATAATAATAGATATAGAAATTGGAAATAATTAAATTATAAATAAAGTAAGTAAAAACAAATAAATCAGGCCACTAGCTTGGTTGCATGTGGTCAATAATAGCAGCTCAATTATCAGGAAGAACTGGCAATGATGTTCCCCCTCCTCCTTCTTCCTCTTCTTCTGCTTCTTCTTCCAAACACAGAATGATTTACAGACACGATATTATTGTTTTTATACGACAGCAAAAGGGAATGGATGAAATCAATTGAGACGTTTAACTCCAAGTGCTATTTTTATTTTTTGTAATTTAATTACACATAATTTTTTGTTCGATAATCTACTTGTATTAATCATAAAAATTCAATAATGATGACTAGACCCACCTATGGACGGAGCCAAAGGGGTCATCCCATATATAATAATTGTATGTACATATGTATATATAGTACAAGTTTTAGTATTAGTATAAAGAAACAGATATCCCCAGCAACGACGCCATTTGAAAGTTGGTTTTAGCGGTGATGTTTTAGTGAGTGTCGTCCTCTAGAAATGACTATAATAGAATTGAGTAGAGAGGGAACAAGTAAAAGACAATATTGAAAGAAATGATCTAGATAAAACCACTTTGCATAAATGCGAATATTATT